TACAATTTACATAATACTGACTCATTTTTAATGAGATATAAAATAAAATTTGGAGCTGTAGTGTCAGATCACATATTAATTCAACTTCAGATTTTAATTATAAATATTTGTTATGTAAGGTATTTGCATTAAAGTTAAGTGATGAGATTTTAAGGCACGGTCAAAATATTTGTACACCTTTTGGAATATTTATACAACTTTTTCAATGCGTTATGCGTATGTCCGAAACACTGTACCACAATCAACTTCCTAGCACCTTGTAGATATAAAAGCCGTACTAATTCATAAAATGACACTTTTGCAGAGATACCGTTTGTACTAGCAATTAACTCACACTTGGAACACTTTTATTAGCATTTAATGTTTAGAAGATACGAGTTTAAGATCACGTAGTCAAAATAAAGTATGCCAAATGCTACCTCAGTTTGCTTGGTCGATACTTACGTGAGACCGTACACGCGATTATACTAAGCCTATGACGTAAATTTTATTTCTAAATATTTTATATTATATTTATTATATGTATAGATAAAAAGTAAATGTAAAAATAAATATTAAATGTGATGGTAATATTATAAATATGTATTTTTGTATGTTTATCACTTTTTCTTTTTGTAGTAGTTTTGAGGGAAATTAAGAACATTATATCACTAATTATAATTGGAGATAAACTTATGAACTATTTACCCATTTTAAAATTACCTATATAAAATTAAAAAATTCTTGAACATAACGAAAGATTTCAATTTTGCACCTAAGGTTTCGTTTAAATTCAAAAGGTAGGTACGGAGCAGCTCATAGCGCAGTAAATAAATATGTTGGGACATTAACACACAGACAGCATCATCTAAATGTGTATCATAACTAAGTCACAAGCCGGCCATCTTTTCCAATACACGCAAATTAATGATCCAAACATGGTTATTACAATCTAGCCGCCCAACAGACATTGTCCTGTTCAAGTTTCGAGCTCGTGACCTTTTTCGTTCATAAAAAATCTCATAGAAGCTTTCTCAGTTCTTCCAATATTTCAGGCAACTTTTCACTAAAAACATTAACCGTATTATTACGATCGGTTCAGCCATTCTCAAGTGATACTTACCAACGAACAGTTTTTCATTTTTATTTTTATAGGTTTGTCTAGAGACTACGATATGACTGACCCTTTTAAAGTTTTCAATTAATTTATTCTTTACATAATAAAGTTGAATGTATTTTTGAGAATTGGGTAAATTAAAAAAATATAGTTAAATAATCTCTGTTCATTTCTTTGCAATATTACTAAGTGCTTCTATTCCTTAATCTCCCCGTTCTGTCCAAGTTCTACAACTTCTACATAATATATTTATCATCTAAATATGTATAATAGTAGATAGAAGAACTCTACTATCACTTGTAATACAAAGATTTTATATATTCATAACTCTTACCAAAATGAAAGGGTTTAGCGAAATATCGATCTTTAATGTGTATGTGTGTATTCAGCCCTTTTTAACGCCCCACTGTTGGGCACGGACCTGCCTTCAGTACGAGGGGAATCAGGCCATAGTCCACCACGCTGGCCAAGTGCGGGTTGGCGGACTTCACATGTCTTTTGAAAACTTGCTAGGTTCTCACAAACATGCAGGTTTCCTCACGGTGTTTTCCTTCACCGTTAAGACAAGTGGTAATCATGTTACAAATGATTCGCACATGAAAATATCAGAGGTGCGAAACCTGGGATTTGAACTCGCTTCACTCGCTTTCTCAAGCGAGCGCGTTACCACTGGGCTACACTGCCTTTTTTTCATCGATCTGGAAGGAATATCGACAAAGTGATGAAATGTGTACAAATACTGTAAAGTAAAGAACTATTAATTTTAATAAGAAAAAATTCCGGTGGACGTGAGAATAATTTAAGAAGTCTAGAATCTAAAATCAAAATCATTACCTACTACGCTTATTTAGCTTATTACAGCTTTAATTCGTAAAATAGTAGAGTATTATAAAGACATTTACATACAAGCTTTCAAATAATACAGATATATATATATGTTAACCGTTATCGTGGTTCTCACGCGTGTATTACGAGACGTTAGCATATAAATGTAAAATAAGCTAATGCTAACGTTTTGTTGATATTAAATTATAAACAATTTAATTACACATTAACAGTAGGCACATTTTATGTTCGTTCGCTCGGGTTCGCCTCTAGAAAAACATAAACAAATTATCCTTCGGGAACCGTATATTTTCCCGGATAAAAGTAGCCTATGTGTTATTCCCGACTATAATCTCTATGCCAAATTTCATCCAGATCCGTTTAGTCGTTCTGGCGTGAAAGAGTAACTACCGTTTAACATCCAGCCATCCATCCTCACTTTCATATTAATAATAATATTAGTATGGGCTGCAGTTTAGAATTGGGGACTTGGCCCCTAGCGGAATGGGTGGTATTTCTGGATAAGGGACGTGATAGGGAGTCGAAATGTTAAATAAAAATTGTCCGCGAACGTATGAGTAAAAAGTTATTGAGACTTAAAGTTACAACATTTCCATACATTATTTTGACATTACTACCATTTAGACACTTGGAGTCAAAACGTCACTTTCAATTGTCAGAATGATCTCCAGATGATTGTCTTTATTTGTACTTTACGTGAAATTCGAATTTTCTAGTTTTCTAGTCATTTGTGGCAACTGTTCTAACCTAACCTAACCAAGATATGAGGAATAATAAATAAATAATCTTAAATGTTCTAACCTAACCTAACCCAGATATGACGAATAATAAATATATAATCTAAAATGTTCTAACCTAACCTAACCCAGATATGACGAATAATAAATAAATAATTAAAAATATTCACAGATAAAAAAATGATTTTTTTTTACTAAATGTACAATTGTAAAACAATATATTTTACATAAATCAAATAACAAGTCATAAACGTATTTATAAAGTGAAAATAATATTTTTCTTTTTATTTATTTATTTATTAATAGTAATATTTTACCAACAGAAAAAGCAAAAATAATCAAATATAATCTGTTGTCATTTAAGCGGTAATATAAAACAAAGTGTCAGTTTTGCTTTTGTCAAAATGTAAGATCATTTTGTTTGTGTTGTGAAATTATTAAAATATTAAATACAATAAAGCATTAATTGTTGTGAAAATATGTATTGTACATAAAAAAGGATGCGTACTATTCGTTAAAGGTATGTTTATCTGTTGTAATCACTTATTTAGGTAAAGAAATGTATGGAAATGTGTTAGATATGTTATAACTTTAAGTCTCAATAACTTTTTACTCGTACGTTTCCTCCAAATATTTTTAATATATTTTGACTCTCTGTCACCTCCCCTATTTAAAAATACCACCCACTCCGAATGGTGGTAAAGAAATATATGAAAATGTATGGAAATGTTGTAACTTTAAGTCTCAATAACTTTTTACTCATACGTTCGCGGACAATTTTTATTTAACATTTCGACTCCCTATCACGTCCCTTATCCAGAAATACCACCCACTCCGCTAGGGGCCAAGTCCCCAATTCTGAATTTGTGCCTTAGTATGGACTACCGACTTACATACGTAGGTACATTTTCAATAGATAAAAGTAGTTATTGTGAGTATACTAAAACAGCTCAGAAGGGTTTTCCAGGAAGACAAGTATTTGGCAATTTTTACAATTATATTTCTCGCTTTTTCTGTATACTCATTTTACATTTATATTTTATATTCCTAACTCATATAATCCGAATCACCGACTGTCCACTTGACATATATAAAATCTATTGTCAAAATCTACGAACTGGCACATAAAATAACTGAATGTTACAATACCCTAAGGACTTTTTTATAAATTCCAATTTGCGTGAATTATAATAGTTTTCGATTTTTGCGCTGGAACCCCAAATATTTCCTGAACAAAACATACCCTATATGTAGCCCTACAAACGCCTGTCTCTTTCAGTAAAAGTCCCATTACAATCAGTTAAGCTGTTCCAAAGTTTACCCCAGACTAACAGAAAGACAAGCAGACAGAAACAAAAATTTTAAAAAGTTGTTTCTGGTGCCATATAAATAACCTACATACTAATAATAATCTACGTACCTGCTTGAGAAAACATATAATAGTTATTTTAAAATCACAAACAAACACTTCTTTTAATTTATGTGTAGATGTAAAAATTTAGCAATAAATAAATATATTTCATTCTCAGAGTTCAAGGTGCTTATGCCCGCCCATACCCTTACGCCGCGCCGCCGCGCCGTTAGCTAGAAAGAAATAAAACTGAAATTACTTTTGTATTTACAAATAGGTGTGGATTAATATTTTTTACACATACATACATACATAACGTTGTTTCTCTATAAAAATAAATACAGATTTTATCTTAAAGTGCTTAATAATAATCACAGGGATGCACATTTCGTCTGACGTAAAACAAATCTATGCATATAATCTGTGACGTGTAGTGGCAAATTGCCCAAACTCCCCGAATAAAACAGTTTTACCAGAGACTCGGGTCAAAGCCGCCGCGTTCCCGAATTTACAATAAAAAACATTTTTTAATAGTTTTGTTAAAAATATTGTCAAAATACGTCCATTTTGAGCAATAATAAACAAACGAAATATCTAACGTATAAAAAACAATTATTGTCTATGAAATATATGAAACAAGTTATTACATACGATTATATAAATAAATTCATATCGTCTCTAGTTTTGTGACGTTTTAGTGAAATAACTAAAGCTATACTACAATAATCTAAATTAAAGTGCAATACGGAAAAACAATAAGAAAACTTCTATTAACTCTACATCGACTCTACATTTTTTATGAGAATAAATTTCAAAACATGCATATATTATAATTATAACAAGTAATTGTAACAATAATGATATAAGGAAAGAAATGTGGCTTTATTGTAATCCTAAACAAATCCAACGGCTAGCTCTAGTCAGCTGATTACTTAGAATTGACTCAGTCATGTCGCGATAGAGCGCCAACATGGACGTGTTGAACGGGCCTTCGCTTCGCCTTCGTGGCGCGGGCAGCTTTGAACTCAAAACAGAATTGAACCTGTGTACCAGCGTCATGTCGCCGGAAACCCAGAGACTCCTTCCGCCCACCTCTGAGACGATTATGACGAAACCCTTCCCTATACGAGGTAATTGTGGTTTTGTGTTGTGATGTGTAGTGAATTTTCGGTAAGATCTAAGTAGTTCTAATGAGTGCAGATAGGTAAGTTAGCTTTTTTATTTGATTTCAAAGAAATTTTCAATTAAATACACAATTTGTGAAGCGCGTGTTCTATATAAAAAATGTAAAGTCTTATCACTGTCATATCAGCATGTCCGGAATTTCATAATTTTGTTTTAAACTACAAAAGTATAAATCAAAATGATATAAAATAGTCGTGCAAAATTGAACTTTACAATAGCTTTTATTTCTATGTTAACGACAAGAACTGTTAGAAAATCTTTGTATATATTTGTCTGTTTTTAGACACTAATATATTTTTTTAAATTACTCTGTAGTACCTAACAAAATTGCAAAGACGTAGTTCATGAAAATAATGAATCATTTTTCTTAACACGGCGTAGCTACTCAAACAAGGCAGTGTTTTGTTTATTACGTACCTACTTCATTTCTTTTTATCGTTTTTTTTTTCAGGTATAGCAAAATTGTTTCTAATGTAATTTTCTTCAGCCCAACCAAATATTGGAAGGACTTTTATGTAAGGGTACATATATACTTATATATTTAAGGGGTGGAGGAGGTGGGGAGGAGGATGGAGATCACCCCCCGCATAGGAAAACTTTAGGAAATGCATAGTGTTTTTTATGAATTATTAAAATCTTATTTTAAGGTTATGTTTTGTTAAATTTTTATTCAGATTTAGCGTGAAAATCGATTTTCATAGTTTTCTAGTCGTTTATATTATTTATTATTTACATTTATTAACCTAACCTAGATATTAAGACGACCATAACCTAAGTCCTAACCTAACCACGAAGGGAATGGCGGTTATCGCCATCCCCTTCTAACCTTTCATTTCACCTTTACCAGATACCAGAATACAGGATAAAAGTAACTTTAGAATGTCATAAAATCTGAAGTTTCGTAATTATTCACCAAAAAAAGTCAATAAAAACTCTGAAATCACTGTGAAATTGTTAAACCCAAATAAAATATTTTTTTTAACGTTGGGAAATGCATTTACGCACGAGGTGTGGGACTCACCGGCAAAGCCAGTACTACCCACTAAAACCCAACAAAACCTTCCCCCGTCTTAATGGGGCGTCGCAGGATCGCTTACGCATTCAACTACGACGCCCCGACGGCAGGTCTGCCGAAGCAGACCACAACAACCACGGGGTTGCTCCACAGTCCACTCTGCTATCAGAGAAGTACCAGGAGCAATCCGCATGGTACACTGCCCTACGAAGAGGGCCACCTCCCACCGCCCACCGAAGTGGGCCACCTCCCTGTGCGTTTCTTGGCTTCGCGCCCGGTTGGATTGCCGGGCACTACTGAGCCCCCCCACCACGACATACCTTGTCGTGGTGGGGGGGCGCACACATCCATCTCTTAACGCACGTTTAAAAATATAAAATATAGTATTAATTATTTAAGCCATATAATTGTTCAATGTGTAATTTAAAAAGTTAAAATTAATTAAGGATTATAATTTTAATTTAGTTTGCTATTATTTAAAAACAACTTACTAAGCAACACTATTAATATATACTTTTACAAATGAAAAATGAAAAATATCAATCTGATAAGCTGTCATTTTGATCTACACAGTATGAACTTACTACATCTGCCTATTTTTCTTTATGGTTATAAATATAATAATGGCAACACTAAATATAGATTACTAATTAATATTTTTAAAATTGTAATAATTATAAAAATAATAGCAAAATTAAATAAACAATTTTCCATATTCAATTATAATTAAAATTATAAAAATGTTTAAAGTTAAAATATTGTAATGTAATTGGTGCAATTTTCATTTTGTTGATTGTGGGTAGGCTGTCTGTAACAACTATATCTTTTAGACATGTAACACCTCAGTCTCTCCCGTGACCATGGATGCTGTAAAGCATTCGAAACGTCGGGAACCAAAAATCAAAATAAATCCGCGAAATAATCCGAAAAGATAGTTTTATTTAATACTAGCTAACATAATTGGTTTGACTTATATTGTTTCTATAGTAGATATATTACAGATAAAATGAATATATGTACAGATAAAATACTACTACTCTACTTTTTTGGCTACAATTAATTTGTAATTGCACTAATTATTATACAATATACATATGTATGTGTGGAAAAACACTTTGACTTCGCTGTGATTAATAAATACAATTCTAAGAATTACATCGATTCGGAGTCGAACCCGCGCACTCGGTAATGCAATTTGACTAATAAACTGCAATTGCACTAAAGTCCATAATCCACTGAATTATAATTATATGGCAATAGTTACTTTGATAACTATATGACCTTGGTGTACGGCTTCTTGACCTACAAACAACAGACTGCAGGGCTAAGTTACATAACCCTTTTCACTTGACCGGTCTCTGACAATCATGGCGTTGTAATAACGTATACTTATTACATCGGAGTATTATCATTAATGCGAAAGGTTATATACCTATATATATGTTACTCCTTTACGTTAAAATGGCTAGACTGTGAAAGTGAAAGTCCCGTTAAAATCGGTCGAGCCGTTTCGGGGATTAGCCGGAACAAATAGACAGGTAGACAAAAAAATTTAAAGTTGTGTTTTTCTTATAAGTACCGTATATAATTTCATATGCATTTAGTAAAAAGTTTATCTGTAAACTGCCTCGGTGGTGTAGTGGCTAGCATGTACGGCTGTACACCCGGAGGTCCTGGGTTAGAGTCCCGGATCGGGCCAAAGTTTAGTTATTGAGTCCTTCTGTATAGTAAGCCTCAGTAACGTAAGTAAAAGTTCCATGATAAACAACGAGGCTTGTGTTATGGATGATGATGATGATGATGTTCCCCTGACCGATTCCGGCCACGGCGGCCAATCTCATTGAGACTAGCCAACTGCGCAGGAGATATTATAGTGCACAAGTGTACGCGCAGACACAAGTGCACTCTCTATTTCTGTCACACTCATACTCCGGTGGGACGACTACTCGACACGACCAGTGAGAGTTAAGGCGCAGGACCGACGGCTTTACGTGCTCTCCGAGGCACGGGGGTGAAACACCGCCAACTTCCCAACTCCGGGCTGTTACTGAGACTTACCATACAGAAAGACTCAATAACTAAACTTGGCCCGACCCGGGAATCGAACCCAGGACCTCCGAGTGTGCAGCCGTACATGCTAGCCACTACACCACCGAGGCAGTTAAAAAGTGTTATGGATACCAGATAGTTGATACACTACACATATATAACTATAAATACATACATATTATAAATATAAACACCCATGACTGAAGTACTCCGTTCCGTTCCGTTCGTATTCATGCTCATCACACAAATGAATGTCCCTAGCGGGACTCGAACCCGCGACCGCTGGCACAAATAGTAGGGTCACTACAAACTGAGAAAAACGTGTCCTCAAACTGTTTTTGTTTCCTTGTTCATTCCAGCAAATTTTAAACGAATACTGCAGATATTTATTATTTAATAAATTCTTTAAATATTTATTTTATATTATATAAAGGTATTTTATATATTTTTAAATAGATCTATATATTAAATATTTTATTAAAAAATAATAACGTATCTCTGCAACCTCGTTATAATATCGTTATGAAAGAAAACATTGTAGCTTGCCATTGAGTTCAGTTAAAAATAGAACTTAATTTTCTCGTATTTTGTAAATTTTTTGCTGTAATATTGAGATACAATATTATTCCTTGCAGACTCTTATCTATACTAATATTATAAAGAGGTAAAGTTTGTGTTCTCGCTTCGCTCGGGTTCGCCTCTAGAAAAACACTAATAGAGATCTATTAGTTCCCATGGGAACCGTTCATTTTTCCGGGATGAAGAGTAATCTGTTGTTTGACCGGCAATATAAGGTATCAGAATGTTAAATTTTACTATATTAGGTGCGTAAGTTTTTGTGTACTAAGCTGTATAAGATAATATAGTTTTTTAACTATCCCATGGGAACTCTTTATTTTTCTGGGATGAAAAGTATCTAAGATGTTGACCGGGGATATAAAGTACCAACATGCAAAATTTCATTTAAATCCGTCCAATAGTTTCGGAGATTCGCCCGTACAAACAAACAGACAGAGAAACAATAAAATTGAAAAATTTGGATTTGTTCTATTTTTCTTCTTACGGGATGTATGAAGATAACTGACTTAGTTTTTGGCATTTTTTTTCTATATACAGACATTCGACCTCTACAGTTTTATTATATTTATAGATAGACTAAATAACGTATAATAAAACAGTTATATAATAATGAAAATAGTTATAGCGTACACTACATTAGGAGATAGACATATACGAGTACTATTGAGAACTTTTCTATCGACCTTTTTAAAACTTACAATTTTCTTGTACAATGTTTTGATCTATCTCTTAAGATTGAGCCAGCGTTAGCCATATAAATTTCTAAGGACAATTCGATAGAAATAGTTATTGTGTTTTCCCGTGGGAAAGAATAATTTGCCTGTCGTAAAAGGTATCCTAAATGTCGATCCGAATACTAAGTTATCACTATACGAAATTTAATTAAAATCGGTTCAGTACTTTTTGAGTGAAACGCGCATATCGATTTGACTAAGTTAATTTTATTATAGGTATAGATAAGAATAAATATTGCTTAGGAGATATACATATACTAATTCAGAACTTTCCTGTAGGACTTTTCAAGACCTACAATTTTTTAGTATATTGTTTTAATGTATGTATGTCTTAAGGTTTAGCCAGCGGAAGATTTCTAGGGAGGACTCTATAAAACCAGCTATTGTATCTTCCCGTGAGGAAGAAAGATTTTCTTAATGTAAAAGGTATCCTAAACGTTGACTCGAGTAATAAGTTATCACTTCACCAAATTTCGTTGAAATCGGGTCATTACTTTTCGCGTGAAACACGCATACAAAAACAGACATACAGACAAACAGACATATAGACAAACAGACAATTTTTTTA